CTATTTATGTGTTCAAATCGTGGCTCCTGGCATTATGCGCAGGCAGGCGATATTTCGCACCATTTGAGCGCCAAGTCTGTGGTTGCCCTGCCAGAATGCTCACATCAAACGCTGGAAATCGTCGGCGACTTTGTTACGTACGCGTGATGGGTGAACTGCTTTGATGGCAAAACATGCGCTAATAGGCGATTCGTGCCGCGTTGACGTCATCCCTGCCCTTTGTGGACCACAGCCGTCGATTTGCAAAAAATCGCGATGGTGTTGATGTGCATGGCCGACTCTTACACAGTTGCACGTTCCAGGAAGCCGCCTGGCCTTCAGAGAGGCATCTGACCGGAGGCGAGAAGGCTGCACGCCTGGAGAGAGTGTACAGAGTCGCCTCACCCATTGCCTTCCTGACCTTTAACGTTGTCTATTGGGCGCACTTTCTGGGTGGGTAGGCTCTGGAGACCCCCGTGCCGGTGCAGAAGTCTGCTCGTGACATAAAAACATCACGTCGCCCGGCTGTTCGACGGTATGCAAGTCGTTCGACTGCTTCGCTTTCTCAGGCATCCGTTTAAGCCGTCTTGGTTTCTGATGCGTGCTGTGCGCTGCGCCAATGATTTCCACCTTGAAGCAGAATGCATTGTGCTCAACATACTATTTGCTTTCGGGGTCATAGCCCCTCCCCCTCTGGAGGGATTGCCTTCTCCCCCTCCCCCCCCCCCCCCCCTGTGGCCGAAGCCCCCAGTACGTTTTGGCAATTCAAAAGGACCGTAGAACTTATAAGCATAAAAGACTGTCCCCGAGGCATCATAACAGGTCCATGAGCAAAAAAAAGCTCCGAACCCCAAAAAAGCCCTCAAAGTGACAAAAAAGGGACCCCGACTGGTTGGGCCCTTATGACCCGATGTGACCTTCCACTGGGCAATCTTCTGGCTACGATACCACCCTCGGCTGACCTTTATTTTAACATTTTCTTTCTTCATTTTATTTTCGTTCAGAGAGCACGAGAACAGTGTGGCATACGATTGCGGAGATTGTTGGGAGACACAGTATATTGCAAACGTGCGACATGAATTGACTCAAAACGCGTGTCGTGCTTTTACACCCGTGCAGCAATTGCTGCTTTTTATCAAATTCCTCCAGTCTTGGGTACGTTGAAGCCCTGGGACAGTAAATGCATGCACACATCGTATATTTCGTCACCGGAGCGAACAGACGACCCAGAAGAAAATGTGGTCCAATGTGAGCCAGTCACATGACAAGTCACGTAATTGCACACAATATGATAACACACAGCGGTGTTAAGGCACCTCATATGTTAAGCTTTAGCAAAGCAATGTCAAGTGAACCGCGACAAAGACATCTTGAAAGGAGCGAGCGCCCCATGGTCCTGTTCTGTCGTAACATACGTCGCAGGTCAGTTGGTGGGTACTGCTGTGAGACGTACGTTAGCAAATCGTTGTACAAGCAATGCCTTAGAAGTCACATGCACCATTATCGCGTACCTGTTGTGCGTCCAGCCTGCTGGACGTGACCGGCACCTGTCCAAAGCCTGTCTATTTTGTATTTACTAGCAAAGCCTTTGAGGCACCAAAATAAATACCATGCCGTTATATGTTGGTGTGTGTATCGCCAGCGCGAGCAGAGGGGGCAGGGGGGTGGCACGACCCTCCCCCTCTCCCCTCTAGATTCCAAGGGGCCCGAAGGGCCTCTCAGGACATACAATTAAGGGCTCGAAAGGCCGGCCGGAAGTCGCATTCGGGGGCCCAGCCCGCAGGGCTGGGCACTTCAATGCCAGCCAGCGGGCCTTGCGCGCTGCTCAGGGGCCCCCTGAGTCGATAAGGGCCTATATGTTGATCAGACACAACCCGTAACGTACAGTTGGCCCCGTGGTGGCATGGGCCTGACAGCTTATTTCCCAACCAGGGACAAAGCCGGAAACAGCGATTTACATTGGTCGGGCCCAGCGTCTTTCAGGGCCATACATGGCCTAGCGGGGGCCTTGTGTTGGCAAGGGGCCCCGAGTCGGTTAGAGGCAGTGTTCGAGGAGGTCCGAGGAGCCTAGAAGGCCCAATGGGTCCGACGATCAAGGGCCTATTGGAGGGTCTAAGGGCAAAAAGGGCTGGTCAGAGTCTTACTCAGGGGCCCTGGCCTGCGGGAGCGGGCCCTCAAATGACAGTCAGAAGACCCTTCGCCCCGATCGGGAACCCCCTGAGTGATATGAGTCTATGTGTCGGTCAGACACCACCAGCACTGCACAGCCGGCTCCGTGTCGGTATGGGCCTAAGGGCTTGCTTCCCAATCAGCCACAAAGCCGCAGCCAGTCCTTTACACTGGTCGGGGCCCCTGTATTTGTCAACTACCTACAACACCCGACGGAGGGCTCCGGGGCTGCAGGGGGCCCCGAGCCGACCAAGGACTGTGTGATAAGGCCCGAAAAGGGGCACGGGCGGCTTATCGGAACTGACTATGAAAGGTTCAGTCGGAGGGCACGCGGACTGGGAGGACTGAGTGTAGGTCACATTGAGAAACGTGGCCCGTAGGGTCGTGACCTGAAATATCAGCCAGGGGTCTTCTTGCATCGTTTCAGGACCGCTGAGACAATGCAGGTGTCTACATCGAACATCTGGCTCCCTGTCAGTGTGCGCCTTGAGACCCCATTACCCAAGCAGTGGCTGAGTAGTGGTAAGTGGTTGGGACCCTGTGTTGATCAGGGGCCCACGGTGCGTAACAGGGTGTCACGTATCGGCTTGTGGTCCCTAGTTGGTCACGGGCTTTGCCTGAGGAGGTCCGGAGAGGGGCCGAATGGCCCCTCTTCCGGATCCTCTTCAAGGGACCCGCGATTCACATTGGTCGGGGCCTCTGCAACAATGCGGGAATCCCGCATCGTTCAGGGGCCGAGGTTCATAACAGGATATTCTGTGTCAACAAGGGACCTCGAGACGGTCAGGGGGGCATTTGCTCAACAGGGACGAGGACTAGACCCCGAATGACAGCGGGTCCCTTGCGTTAGTTGGGCCCTCTGACATGAAAGGAAACATGAGCACTTATGATGATTGCTCACATTGAGGCAATAGAAGTGTCCTGTGCCAGTCAGGACCCCCAGTGCCTAACGGTGAACCCTCCAACCCAGTTCTGCCACTCGCTCGTTAAGCCCAATCGGAGTCCATACGTGCCAATTATTGGACTACCTGCGGCAATCAAAGGTGTCGCGCCAATAAGGGTTCCTAAGTCGATCCGGGGTCAACTGCGCGGGCCAGAAGGCCTCCCACGCCAGCGAGGAGACCAATATGATATACTGTATCGCTCTAAGGTCTTCCGGATCGGCCAGGGTATTCCGCCGCGCGCCGCCAGAATGGCAGCCGCGGAACACCTCGCGTTGGGATGACATTGGCCGTCAGCCCTTGGCCGGGAACAAGAATGTGCCTCCTAATGTTCTATTTCAGGGCGTCCTTTTCCCGGAACGAAATAAGGGGTCTCATGACTGTTGAATAGTGGGCCAAATGAGCTAAAACACGAACAAGGCTATCCCATGCTTGTCCGGGAATGTTCATCCTTTTGCAAAATCGACTAGTGAAACAAATTACATCAGAAGGTTTGAGCCTGCGCATCCACAGTCTCGGGAGCAAGGAAGGCGACGGCCGGGGCTGCAGTTTTCGTAAAACCGCGAACGGCGTTGGCCACTGCAAGTACCACCAGGTGCCGTGTGCCCGGCGGTCGCGTTGGTCGTCACGTCCGCTGTGGGTCGGTGTCCAAGGGTCGGTTCTTAGTTCGAGTCCAATTCACGGAAAACGAGCCCATCCGTTGCAGCATGTTTTGCAACGCGACGTTGACGTAGCTGTTTATACGGGCAAAACACTGCTGTAATTCGCTGACTGGTGGATGCACGGCCGCCCCCACGCCGGCCCAGCAGCCGTTAGCCGCACGGAAAGAAATGCATCAAATTAAATCACGGGATTACAGACGTACGCCGAATTTCGTAGGCGGGGAGCGGAAAGCGTACTTCGAAGAGCCAGGCAGGGAGCCATGTCCGTCACACACTAACTGCAACTGCGTCATTTGATGGCAGAGTACATGGTGTCAGAGGAGGCTAGGCTGAGCTCCCGATGACTACCATGGAGCACTGGTGAGGAGACTGCGCACACCTGCGCACAATGATTGCACCGCCCGCGCACAATCAGTCAACAAAGTATTTTGCTTCACTTCTCGTATTTCACAAAGCTACGGCACAACTCACAACACGAACCGGACTAAACGCGCTATCACGTGCAGCTGCAACGGCACCCAACCGCTGGAAAGGGCACAAACAGATACATGGGACGGACCGCCCCAACGACGTTTTTCTGGGTTACTGTCGAGATCGCTTTTGCCGGTTCGGTGAAAGCTTGCACGCCCCGGAATTGTGGAGACCCAGGTAAGTTGTAGCTGACGTATCAATGAAAATCAGCAGATAGTTCGGGGATACTTCTGTATGTTTGGCATCGTCGCATCGTGGTGTTATATTGTCTTGCTTTGTCGCAATGACGCTGCTACGAGACGTCCGCTGGCAGCACCCAAAGCCCCCGGCGAGCGCGGCACGGCACGGCAGCGAGCGCGGCACGGCACGGCAGCGAGCGCGGCACGGCACGGCAGCGAGCGCGGCACGGCACGGCAGCGAGCGCGGCACGCGCCCACTGATCACCGTAATTCCAAAACAGAGGTGAAAGCCCATCAAAATGCAGCTTTCCGCCGCTTTCTGTCAAGCCGGCGCTGCAGAGATTGCTGGAGCTGCCATCTGTTTGTTGGTGCTCCGAGCACGGATGCCGAGCCCGATTACCTCTGACCCGCCCATGCGAGCGGTCTGTAAGAAAACCAGTCAGCAAACTGAATAACTCCATTTATTGACTTAGCCGATCACTTCTCCTTCATCGCCCACAGCTTGTGGAACTCGCCAACGAACGGCCGCACCAGCTGCGGGTTGTTGGTGATGATGACGTCCTCGTTGTTGCCGAGCGCCGCCTGTCGGGTCCAGTTAAACGACCCACACACCAGCACCTCGTCGTCCACCACGGCGAACTTGTGGTGCATGAGGAACGGCTTGGGCTTGACGAACACGGGGACGCCGATGCGCCGCAGCTGCTGCAGCTGGCTACCGGTACACGTCGACATCTCCTCGTCCAGAATGACTCGGACGCGCACGCCACGGCGGCTGGCGGTGGCCACAGCGGCCGCCAGCTCCGGACAGCTGAGCACGAACACGCAGACGTCGAGCGAGCGTCGCGCGGCGCGTAGCCGGCGCAGCACGCACTCGAGCCGGCGCTCGTCGCCCGGCGCTGGGTCGCCGGGCGGCGCGTCCCGCTCGCAGGCCGACGCGGCCGTCGGCGGCGCCGCCGGGAAGAACAGCACCTCGTGGAACAGCGCCGCCGGGGGGCGGCGCAGCAGGCGGCGCGCGGCGGCTGCCAGCAGGCAGGCGACCGCCAGTGTGGTGCAGCCGCCCAGCACCAGGCCTCGGTAGCCGTCCATGGCCGGCCGGACCGCGCTACTCCGGGTCGCGAATGCAGCGGCGCACCGTGCTCAGCAGACCGGGGTTCTCCATGGCGGCCGCCACCCGCTCCTTGTCGTTGATCTGCTTGCTCACTGGCGGGCGGACGTGAGGACGGGCGTCAGCGGCGGCCGTGGCGGCGGGGTGGGGCGGCCGGAGGGCAGCCCGTCGCCGCACCATGTCACATCACACCAGACGGAGCCGACGCCCGGGACACCCGCCGCCTGGCAGCCAACCACACCCCCCGGCGCGGAGCTTTATCACGGGAAGCATACACCATGCATAGCTCCAACGGTCGCAGCCCACGAAAGAAGTTTCGTTTACTGGTGTTTTAGGGTGCACTGACTGTAATAAACGACGCTTGCTCACGCCGCACGAGTGGTAAACATTTCAGACACATATTGAGCGTTTGTCCGTATCCAAAGCTCACTGTGTAGCATGGTGACAAGATGCACCTCATTTGAGGATTTCAGCAACACCATCCAGGCTCCACATAACGCTCACCATGCTGACCGAACATGCCATCATGTACAAAATGGGCTGATTGCAATGATGGAAAAGTCCGTCCCGATATACTAGTTGGTAAGAGCGTCTGCCTCCCGATTCACTCATCCGTGGCCGGATGGACTCGATTCGATTCGATTCGATTCGACTCGACTCGACTCGACTCGACTCGACTCGACTCGACTCGACTCGACTCGACTCGACTTCGACTCTTTGCTCTCGATTTTTCGAGTCGCTATTTGCCATCGAAACGAATAACCTGCGATCAGTGGCAGCGATCGCGTTGGAGTTCATTTGACGTCAGAGGGCAGGGCAGACCGTGCCGAGCATTGCGGCAAGTTAAACTTTCGGCTTCAAATTCTGCTGTTGACCTGGGATTGCACGAACGTATGCACGGGGTCAGGGCTCACACATGTACCACTTAGCATGAGCTCTGATCTCAGAAGCCCATCCATTCAAACGGTTCGATTATTTTGTGCAACTGATGCACAGCGATAGATAACCCTGCAATGGGTTACACATCTTCCAAAACCCAGTAGCCGACTAGCTTACCAACACAAAACCGGGTCGCAAAAGCACAAGTTAATGGCACTCTGGATGAAACGCAAGTGCGCCGACACGATACCAGGGAAGCTGAAAGCCGTGCATAAGACCTCAGCGACGAGCAATCACTTCAAACCCGGTCCACTCCCCGTCAGCACCCCAGCTGGGCCCCGCCCTGACCTTCGCCACTGGTCTGGTGTGAGCCCTCCTTGATGACGACGTCCAGCTTGTGCTCGAAGTCGAGGTTCTCCTGCAGGCGCACGCGCACGCACAGGCCAATCAGCGTAGCCAAACTGCAGTGCGGCACCGTCGGCGTGAGTTGCACGCGCACGTAGTAGGCGCTCCCCACGCCCGGGAACCGGCTGACGGCCACGTCGTCCTCGCTGACCACGCGCAGGTCCTCCAGGCTGGCGCTCTTCTCAGGGTCCTCAATGCACCGGATCAGGTCTGGCGGCGAGGCGGCGACACTGTACACGACACCGTACGGGCAAGGGGCCGTCCATCAATTACGGCAGCACGCACTTTTGGCAATTTTACAGCCTAGGTTCCTCCCCCCCCCCCCCTGGCCACACAACGATCACGGTGGACGATATTCCTTCCCCTGGTTGCGCCCGGCTAAGCGTAACGTCCCGACAAGGCAAGACACGTTTTGTCCCTGATATTGAGCTAGAGATGTGAACAAATAACGGGAGCGTTAACTACCACGATAGGAACAAAACGGCGCCCGCCTTCAAGGTTTCTATTTGTTCAGGAGGATTTCGGCATCATTTGCATTCGCATTTGAACAGCATTAGCATCATTTGGTGACACTATACGGCACGACATGAGTAATGCACGGCGGAGATCGACTGGGCCAGGTAGGCGAGGCACTGACACTGCACACGGCGCGGTAGGGTGCGAGGCGGTGGACATGGCGTGGCCAACTCGGTCCGCCTCGATGGGTTGAAGTCAATGTGGCGTACAGATTTACGGCTGGAAGTGCGTTCGATTTTTGAAAAAAGTGCGTTAAAGCGTAGAAACACCCGTTCGCCATCCATAACTCAGCATGCGTGCACAGCTAAGATAGGTCATTTGTGATCGCTTCTTCACGACCAAGCCCAGTCACCGGTTAATGTATCATCATGATTGACGTGCTTTATTTTCGACTGTCAATCCTACCGTCACGTCCATGTTTCGGTGATCAGGGATGCCGAGTCCAGCATGAGCTGGCACTGCAGCAAATTTTTCTACTGCCAGCGGAGAGAAAAACGAAGTCTGGAAAAGTTCTATCACAGGAATTTATCATCATGTTTAAGCTCACGTGCCCATAAAGACGCTGTCAAGAGTGGAAGAGTTACATTTCTACGCCTCAGTAAGGCAATTTCTCATTCTTGGCTCATTCACCCTCTTGTCGCCGTACCATCAGGCGTTAGTCAGAAGACATGTCTGGCAGGCCAAACAACCGATTTGGGTGCCGCCCAGCTGCGTTCCTGGGCGGCACAACCTGGGCGGGGGGGGGGGGGGGGCAAGACCATTCGAAAAGAGAACCGTAGCTGCCAACGGCGGGAAAGCCATCTAATCTTCACACTGCGAATGCTTCCTATAAGCATAAGAGCCAATCTGACTTAATGATTTCAACGGCAAATTCTCCTTCTCCTGAATGAGACGTCCAGCCTGTGCGTGTGGTGACAATGCCTCCGTGCAGCGCCACCTATAGCGCGGTCATGCCTGTCTAGCCCCACGTCGGCGCGTCAGTGGCGGACAGCCGTTCCGATCGTCGTGCCCGGACCGGGCAGACCACCCGGCCCTGGGAGTCCCCGACCCACCGCACAAGGCACACAGGGCCACTGGTCATCGCGCCCGTCCGCTGTGCGGTGCGCTGCCCATGCTCGCAGCGGCCGGGCTCGGCGCAGAAGAACCCAGCCACGCGAGAGGCGCGTCTGGGGCAGTCCGGTGGTCAGGTCGACCAGCCTGCCAGTTGATGCGCCATGCAGAGAGGTGGATCCAGGGGTTAAAACCGAAGTACACGTCCCCGCGTTCTCGACGCATCACAACAGACTGGCTCACCTCACGGCAAAGAGGTGATTTGTTCTGTGTCACTGCTAGCGTCGAACCGCGCACCCCTGAGGCACTCACAGCATTGCATCCAGGGATAACTTCAGCATTTATTGGGTGCATCAGGTCACCAAAATGTCACATCATGTATCTTTTCACAAATTTGGATAAGTATCACACAGTATTACACTCAACATCCAGGGATATATTGATCAATGATATGTTGCACCACTGCATGGAGCACTTACCATACACCTGTTCCACCTTATCTTGACAATCGTGATCTGCTTCCTTTGCTGTCTCCACTAAAGACATTCCTCATCACCCAAAGTGTCTGCAAAGACATGAGAAACAAAATAAATACATAGTAGATCATCACTGACATTGGGGGTTGATGATGCCCTCAGCCGCTGAGGTCATGTGTATTGCCTGCCTTTCATCCTGGTGGGACATTTTGAGGCACTGAGCCTGATACCCCTGGTTTCCCAAACAATACAGTGGTCAATGCAAGCATGTTAACTGCTATGCTATTACCACTTTTCACTGCAGATCATGTATGTATGGGAAACTGCCAGCACTTGAACTGCCACATAGACACCAAATGTGATCAGAAATCACTTCACTGCTTTACTGAGGACTGCTTTCAAGCCTTGAGGGTGTTTGAGAACACAAAACATGCCCCACTATACCCCAAAAAGTGACAGTCATGCTTAATTGCTTATTATGGTTGAAAACCAAAATATATCCTAACAGCATTCATGAGCATTCCTTGGCCCGGAGTATTTCAATGTTGGCCATGTAAGCTTACAAAATACCTGATAAAAAAATTCAGACCAAAAGACAATAATTTTCTGACTAACAAAAGGTGCCCCAGAAATGCAAATAACATGGCATGCTTTGTTTCCTATTTTAACAAAAAATTAGACCATGGTAGAGCCAATCGCTATCAGCATTCCAGATAAAATCCATGGGAATGCACAATTTGCATGGTCAGGGAAAAAGGGTATGCACATTTCACACACCAATAGATAGACACAACATGCAATTGCTTTTGATAGCTGTAAACAGTACTACATGATGCACAAATTATTAGAGTAAATAAAAACCACACTGTGTATCACTTTAAGTATTAGCACAGTGTGGTGACTCTTATCACACAAACATGGCAAATGTCTATTTATGGCATCATTCTCACCACTGTGATATAGAAATTTGACATTAAACCATTTTGACCATTTAGAACTGCTAAAATATGTCAATTGAAATTGCTACACCAAATTCATGCTTCTTGGCAAAACCTTGCATCTGAGAAATTATGTCAGAACAGCAAAGGGGATCTGTGTGCTGAGCATTTTGATTTCTGAGGTCAGCAATGGTCTAACATTCTTTACCAAAGAACTCAATTTGCAGATTTCTTGGCTTATTACAACCAGGCAAATTTCAGTCCTTTGAACTCATCATAATTACAGACTTACCAGGGCACCTAGTCAATCTGTCATGCAAAATGAAATCAACCATACCATCATATCTTGCAGCACATCATGCCTTACTATGGCAATGCAAAATGTAACAAATTGAATTCTGTATATACAGATTATTACAAATTTACCAATTAATTGTGTGCACACAGATATACAGTGAACTGCCCCATACATGAATGAGCAGATCTCATTCTGTATGTAGGGCCTCTGCCCCCCCCCCTCCCCCTCACAGTGCAATGCAGTTCAGCTTTAAAGGGATTGCACACATCAAAGATCACATTGTGATAAATATCCACAGTGCTGAGCTGCATGAATTCCAAATGTTTTTCTTTGTACTGTGCAAGCAAGACAATTTTGTCACAATGGAATTTGCATCATATCACTGCCCACAACAAAGCCAAACATTGTCAGGAGTACTATTGTTTTAAATGTAATAGGGTTAAGCTACTTACAAGTGTACACATGTTTTTGCTTGTTTAAGCCAAAAGCTAAAACTCCGAAACATTCATGGCATGCCAATACACTCATTAAAGCAATGAGAGATGGGAGAGGCATAAAATATGTCATGCCTGTTTACCTAACTTGATAAAGTTCACCAAGGTGGCAAAAGGGTTTACTCACTTTCAGTCAAACCCACACTCACGCAATATCAGGCTTTTGGCCGGCCTAAAACTCCGCACACAATAGTACCCAAGCAAACCACCCGATAACAATACACAGGATAGCCTATTATACGACAATGGCACATCTACACCATAGCCTTGTACACACCCTACACACTAGTTAGACAACATTGACCCGTCCCCGATGCTTGCACCGGTTTTGACCTCGAAGACCCTCGCTGGCGGTACTACACCACCTCGTAGTGTTAACAGCGAAATATGTCGCTTGGCGATCGTCTGTCATACCATACGCACCCACTCATGTTCGAAGCACTGGTATTCTAGGCTATCAAAGATACCAAACAAATACACAATCAGCAGTGCGCAATATGACGCATTCCACCTTTCAGCTCAGCGACGGCCCGAGGACGTAGACATTTCATGCGCACATGTTTCAAAACAGTCAGCTGCTGCGAGCGGTCTCGAACACTTAATTTGCAAGCCAACCGCATAGCAATTTTGGTAGTCTCGGCTCATGGCCGAGGTACACGGGGGATTATCGCAACACCTAATGCTCGTAACCACTAATGTATGATAACGCCTAATGTTCGAAACAGCTAATGTATCACAATTACTAATGTGTCATAACCACAATGCAGGGGCGGATCCAAGATTTCGTCAAGGGGGAGGGGCACGCAACGTTGTGGGGCCCCCTGGAGTTTGGGGTCCCTCCAAAAAACATTCTTGCATTTTGTCCACTACATTATGAGACAAATCGTATGCATCATATACATATATATATATATATATATATATATATATATATATATATATAGTATTCAAAATTTGTTAAGAACGTGATGCACTAGTATAATCGATGTCACACGCTCAATAGCCAATGGAAATGACTCGTGCGACGGCGGCGGCATGTAGAATTACGTTCGGCAATTACGCGTAAAAGTTCATCGGCGCGTATTCGACTGCTGCTCTAAGACGAAGGCACCAAGGCCAATAGGGACCCTGAGCGATCATGGGTGCCGCAGGAGGCCAGCAAAATGGCTCCCGTCAACGAGTCAAGTCCTCAGAGCAAGCAACAAAAAAAGCAAGACCAACGTGGTGAGTCCATAAAGGATCGGTAGTGTCTCAGCAGGCCAACATATAAAACCTCGGCCATAGCACAGGGCCCTCCGAGCAAAGGGAAAATATCCAAGACCGTAAATTAATACCCCTGTGCAATCAAGAGAGCACGGGCAGGTTAACAACACGAGCCTCGATAGGAGTAAAAGTCCTCAGCAAATGAGACCAAAAGGAGAAACCTCTCGATCAAAGTAGAGGACACTTGAGCATCGAGTGTCTCCGTGCCTTAACTTCTAAGAGCCCTAGCAACAGCACAAGGCCCTCCAAGCAAGTGGAGAGAACCCGAGATCTATATGAAGAGCCCCTGAGCAACTCAATGTACCCCGGCATATGGGACCCCAGAAAAAGTGCACAAAGCCTTTTGGGCGAATGGGAAGAATCCGTGGAGGAAAACCTGATCGTTCAACAGTGCTCAGGCATGGAGGCAGATAGCGTCCCAACAGCACATTGGGCCCTACCAGACAAGCAAAGAGATCAAGGGCAGCGTGACAAGCTGCTTAGCAATCGGACTGACCCAGCAAGCGGACATATAGGGTCAGGCAATCAACAGCGTAATGCCTCTAGACAGCGTAATGAGCCCCAAAATTTCCTCCAAGCAACACTTCCTCAATCAGCGAAGAATGAACTTTGTTTGCTTATGAACCATTTACTTTTGCTCACAATGGTTCTTGGTCGTCTGCAGACCCAAAGGCATCCAACTTTGTTGTGTTTTTGTTGTAAAAAACTGCCTCCGTGCGGCCGGTTAAGGGCCCATTCGGTGTCTTTAGGCCCCCTCAGCATGCTCCATGGGGCATGGTCCTGTGCCTCCCCCCCCCTCTCCCCGACCCCCACCCCCTGCATCCGCCATCGGCCCGAGCAGGTCAGGAAATGGGATCCCCATGAACATCGGGTCATCCATTCAAATAAGACATACTCACGACGCAATGTGCGGGGCTCTGAACGATCGAGTGCGTCCGAGCAGGTTAACACATAGGGCCCCCGTCAAGAGCGTAGGGCCCTCCATTCAAATAGGAAGTACCTAAGACCCAATGAAGAGGGCCCCCGAATGTTCGAGTGTGCCCGAGCAGGTTAACAACTAGGGCTCCCAACAAGAGGGTTGGGAACAAGAGGAACAAGAGGGAACACCAAAAACCCAATAGAGCCCCGAACAATCCGGTGTAGCCGAGGAGGCGAACAGTGGGGCCTCTGACAAGAGCGTAGGGCGCCATTCAAATAGCACGTGCTCAATGTCCAATGCAGTGTCCCCGAACGATCGAATGTGCCCCAGCGGGTTATCAGACAGCCGACCCCCCCCCCCCCCCAAAAAGAGCGTAGGGCCTCCATTAAAAAAGAAGTACCCAAGGCCCGGAGTGGAGAGAATTGGAAACACCCCAGACCAATGTAGGGGCCCATGAACGCATCGCAAGTGTGTCTGTAGGTTAACCGAGACTCACGTAAAGGGCCCTGGGCAACCGAGAATGCCCCGGCAGGTTAATACATGGGACCCCGGCTTTAACTCACAGAGCCTTTCTGGTGAATGGAAAGAATCCGCGGAAGGGCCCGTGATTGCCTAGAGTGCCCTGGCACGCTAACAGGAAGGGCATCAACAACAGCGCAGGGCCCTCCGAGCGAATGCGAAAAGATGAAGGGCGACGTGGAATGCTCCTTGATGATCGAAACGATCCTGCACGCGGGCATATAGGTCCCCCGAAAACAGCATGGCGCCCCTAGACAGTGTAATGTGAATTAAAATTTCCAGTTCACAGCTTTTCCAATCACTGAATAATTCTCTGGACCTCTCATAGGCCCTTCGCTTTCGCTTACAACTGTTCTTGATGGCCTTGAAGTCCCGAGATACCCAGCTTTATTGCGTTTTGTGTTAAAAAAACTGCACCTGTTCGGCCCACTACGGGTCCCCTCAGAGCCAATGGGCCCCTTCGGGGCCCCAAGGTGGGTCATGGCCCCGTGCCCCCTCTTCTGGATCCGCCCCTGCTCTAATGCATCGTAGCCCCTAATGCATCATAACCCCTAATGTTCACAACTCCTAACGTATCAGGGTATTGCTTCATGAAAGCTTGATGATTTTTGCTATCTTAAATACCCAGTGTGATAAGTATCAAACGTGCGGAAGATTACACATTTTATGTGTTCATAATGCATTTGAGCATCAAACATTTGAGAAGATAAACACATAATGCGTTTATATTGATGCCATCACATGTCAGTATATTTTCATTGCAACTCATGTTGTAACGTTTCAATTTAGTTCAGTATTTGTTGATTCCTCTTTTATTCCAAATGAATTGGGAATAGTAATCCCGGAGATTAGAAGTAAGGTAGTGGCGTTCTTCATAGAGAGCACATCAAGCGAATGTAAAAAGTTGAAGAACAATTTCTATGTTTTAAAGACAAGTTGCAGAGCGATGTAAATCATGTTGGCAGACACGTGTTTTGGGTCGTGTTTTACATCAGAACCAATGACTGTCATGTTGCTGTGACACACTGATAAAAGCCAACTTCATCATTCGTAGTCCCCCAGACCTAACATTGGTTTTGCTTTTAGAAACCTAATTTCTGTAATAACACGCTGAATTTTGGAGCTATTGCGAAACCTTCGCCGTTGCTGGAAAAGCCGGTGGAAGTTGTTTATTTCATATAAGCTATCTGTGGGTGCCGAAAGTGCAGTGGCAAACGCATCTGTATTAACCCCTGCGCATCTGAGAAATAATCAGTAAGGGTTTGAATCCCCGCGGTGCCCGCCCTTCCTGCCAGGTTGTGAGGTACGTGACGCCTTATCGCCTCAGCAGCTGGGTGAATCGTAAAGCCCCAGTGGCGATGGCAATGGCCTAAAATATATTTAAATGTGTTTACAGGTGTGATAATTTTGTTTCAAGTCAAAGTTGTGACTGTACGATTTTGGTAAATATCCAACTTTTCCACAGCTTTAACTTTACTCTCCAACTTTTGTCAACGCCCAACTTTGCTAACCTATGGCTTAATATGTTGCGAATGAAACGACGATTGACAAGCAGTGCTGAGCAGCCCGGCCAGATATGCGTTAAGGGCGTGCCGACAAGCAGCAATCGAAGCAATTTTTTTAAAAAGTCGTTTGCCTCTTCTGGTTTAGCTTCATACATTGTTGCTTGTTGATTAACTCGATTTTGAAAGAGGATTATCACTTGGGGTTCATTGTACCTGATGGGTGCGAGCAATGTCTACGTTATGCAAGAAACACGAGACGTTAAATCGGGTCATATGGTAATGTCGAATGGAAGGTAAAGAGATCGCCAGGAATGTGATAAGCTTGTTGTGCCTACATTTTATGTTTGATATAATAACGAAGTGTATGATATTGTTGCTCATGGTTTTCTTTATCCTGTCACACTTCATTTCCCTAGAATACGCGACTAAAAAACACTAAACGTCGGAGCCCCATAGACTTATTTAGATATTAAGCACTTCAGATGTAACATTTGGAACATGTGTTTCTGTAATTAATCGTCTAATTTTGACAACATTAAAAAACTTCCACCGTTTTAGAAAAGAAAACAAAAAAGTAAGCTCCTCTTGTAATCTAGCAATTTTGTACAAGTTTCGTTACGCTTCATTTGATCACTAAAATCGGCCTGTTTGGTAATAAGCAAGCCTGCCCTGATTAGCCCTGCTAATTCGACCCCACCTAGCTTGAAACGATGACGTGCCAATTACTTTTCACAACCAACTTCTTGGAGCCCTTCAAAATTTGCGGCAAATGATTGACAGTAAGTGGAAGCCAACGCATCATTATAGATGCATACCATATTTTTGTATCAAATGATAAGGTATTATTAAGCTCATAACTCTGCTTCGTTACAAGATTGAATGACGCAAACGACTTCAATTAAAGGACAATGTAAAACGCTACATTTTGTGGGAAACCTGACTGGAAATGTTAGGTGACTCGCTTCATGATCTTCAAACAACATACAGAACATGTTAAAATACCTCCTACATTTCTGACTAATGTCAGAATGTCAAAACCACCACAACAAAACACGTGAGTTTATTGTCGTGCTTTACGTCTTGCCACACTTCACGTCTTGCCACAACTCATACCCCTAACATGGTGAGTTAACTTCCAGAAATATGGATCTGATCACCTCACTCGGTTTTTAAGCAGCCCATTCGTTTCATCCTCGATTTCAAATGCCCCTTTATGTCGCTCCCGGTAAAGCTATGGTCGTGAACTTTACCAAGGTACTAGTTCTGTCCAGTACGAACAGTTCCGAGACCGAAATTAGCAAGCTGATG